ATAAAGATGATGATGAAGAGGACCGTAAAAGACTCGTTCTACATATAGCTGTTAACAATCTCCTTTGAGGTAACGAATTTAATTTCTTTACTATTTTCCATATCCAGATAGACGGCAACCAGACGCTGAACGAAAACATAGCTGACAACGGCGGACTCAAACTGGCTTTTAAAGTGAGATTCCTTGATTGAATATCAATGAAGCTAGAATACCTAGATGTTTATTTTGGGTGTTTTGTTGAGAGGGGAATTTTAGATATTGGTAAATCTGCAACATTTTTTTATGTTTTGTGTCGTGAATACATCGGAAAAATCTCGTGCGGTTCATAAAGGTATCCAGTTTGTTTTGTTTTCGCTGTTATTTCATCTAAATCTGTTTCCATTTCCTCTATTTTAAAAGTACCTTATGTAATTTTTCCCTTCAGGCTTACAAATCGTTGGTCGCAAAAGAGGGCACTGAGGGCACCCTCCCTGGGCTTGGTTTAACTGAAGAGCAACTGTTCTTTATTGGATTTGCACAGGTTGGTGTCAATCAATTCTACATTTATCGTGAGTGTACTTTTAAACTAGGTTATATCAACATTTAGGGTATACCACACAGCTGAGTAGTGCTTTTCGTGCGAGCTGATTGGCTGTTTCGGAAGTTAATAGCGAGTGCCATTCACCTCCTCTTCACTGAATAATTATTAGATAGAACAAATTATAAAATTTGCAAATTAAAACATAATGGGAAGCGCACTGTTGAAGCTACTTTGTTTTCTGCCATTTAAAGTGTCTCGAAAGTATTTAATTAGTTAACAAAACTGTCTATTTTTCTTTAGCCATGGTGCAGTATTTACAAGAAAAAGGCAGCCCTTCTCCAGCTTCAAACAGACTCCCACACGTTCCCCAAGTACAGGTAAATTAATAAATTTTATCTACGACACAATTTTCTGTTTTTTTTTTTTTTCTTATTTAATACTTTGTTACATTACTGCTATTTGTTTTTCTTTCAGGATCTTTGGTCCTTTGCACAACTACGATAAATTCGCAGAGGCATACAAGTGTAAAGCAGGATCTCCTATGAACCCTGCAAAAAAGTGTACTCTTTGGTGATTCAAAGTTTCTGGATAGGTGCATTTATCACGAGATGACTTTCCCCCAAGTCCAAAGATAAATATCATTGGAGAAAGAGTAAAGCTCAGTCAGTGGTCAGTCCGTATGATTCTCCAAGTATTCCCTTAATGATAGATCCACGAAATGTTCTGAAATTAATTTCTAACAAGATGTAATTTTTTTTCCTAAGCCGGATTCAGTTCAGAGATATAGTTTTTTTAATTGAGAGTTATTTCGATTATGCGCGAAATAGTTTTCTAATTAGTTAGGTTCGTTTGTATTTAAACAGATACCGTAGAGGTTGTTTTAATAATTTTGAATTTGATTAAAAAACTGTTGCCTTGTTCTATATTTGTGAGGCTGCATTGCTGTCTTTTGTTAATTTGTGTAAGGGAATCATTCCCAGGATATTTATTTTTCGGGCTTTTTTGTCATCGTTTGTTTGTTTGTTTGTTTGATTTCTTGAGGAGTGAGTGTTTGATTGGCTCTGGAGAATGTGAAAAGCACGAGGCATTGATGGAAACAACTAGATCCTTCCTATCTGCAAACTTAATCTACAAACCTGTAGACTGCTTTTTGCTTACAGAATTGAAAAGTGAAAAAAAGCACATGAAGCATCGACACACTTACCGAAATATATTGATGTTTAGAAGTCCCGAGAGTGTATGCAAAATGGAAGGCAGAACAGGATGCCCCACATCCTCGGAGACCCAGGGGCTGTGGGTCTCCGAGGATGTGGGAGAAAGCAGCATCGGATCGATTCCCAGTGATCAAAGGTATTTAACTTGGTCTTCATCAATCGACAGAAGAGGTGAAATGACAATGACCAAGGGACTAGAAGAGAATCCGTGGCCTTCCTAGCTCGAGAATTTCAACACTCTTGGCAGCAGTTGAAAGATTAAACTCTTTCCAAACACCTTCGGTAATTGCCCGAGAAAATCTCTCCTTCCCACTATGTTCTCGTTACTAAGTTTTTGTTCAGAAATTAATTAGCTAACCGG